CGCAAATGGCTACCATATTGAAAAATATACTATTTTTGTATGATAATTATGGGTTTTGTATTTTATTTTAATAGAAGTTGATGTTGCTTTTGCAATTATCCATCAATTTTTTAAAATTAAACACTATCTACAGATTTGCATCGAAGCGTTTCTTATGATAGTGATTTTAATCACTGTCAGATTAAATCTATACTGGACCCTACTATGCAATGTCTCCACTATGCCGCGACCCCACTGTGCTACCGTTTTTTTTTTATTAGATGCATGATGTCTTTAACTATCGTTTGATATATTTTTTTTATAAATCTGAACCTTTACCTGCCTACAGTGGGGGATTTAAAATGACAACTTTTTCACAAAAAATTTACTTTTGAAAGTCTTCCGAAAAGCCTGACACTTTTATATATATCTTAAATTAAAGCTAATGTTATATACTTAATTAGGGAAAATAAAAATTTCAGGCTTTATCTTGTCTACATGGTGAAAATCGCTACCATATGCTATTTTTTTTATTTGGCTCTAATTAGCTACCAAAGATTTAATTTATTGTTGTTAATTTTTTCTAATTAGCAAATGTATTCTGGTTAATTATGATATTAAATATTGTATAGTTACCAAAACTGTAGTTATTTAAGCTTATTTGTCGTGGTCCATGTTTTTTAGTTTTATGTAGCATCTCTGGCAAGCAACTATGCGAATTTTGAGTATTATCAATTTGAAAAGGCTCAGGGTCAATTTCCTGGCTTTTTAAAATAGCTTTTATCCTATTTGCAACGGATGGAATTCGAGATCATGTTTGAAGTACTGTTGCACACATTTCTTAGAGCTTTCATTGATGTTAGTCAACTGCTTTAACCATAAAGGTTTAAAAATGTGATCGTTTTCAACTGAAAACTTTTAAGTCATTTATCTCAAAAACTAAATTGCCAATTATGGATTTTTATTTTTGCGTTAGATTAAGTTAATAATAAACTATCGAATGGCATATGAATTTCGAAAGTTGATCCATATACCAAAAGCCAGGGTATTAATTTACATGATTGTACTCACATATTCTTTATTTCTATAATTATTTACAAAAGAGTGAGTTGAATATTAAACATTATCGCAAGAGCTATATACAAATATTCACAACATAGATCACTGGTTTTATGCAGGCGAACCCTACCACTTCCAGTGACTATTTACACGGCTTTACACTACACATTATGATCAGTATTCAGTGCTTTAAGCCGGTTCAGATACGTACTATAATATTTAATGCCCCTGTCCTAAACATCTCTATAAAAATACTATTACTAATTAAAAAAAAAATGATCTTTCATTTTATATATTTTGTAGCTTCGATGCGAAGCTGAGAAGGTATTGGTTTTACTAAGATGTGATTTTTTTTTTTTTTAATTGTGTTTTTTTTTGTGTCTGTTACCACTTTTTCTCAGCTCTCACCGAACCGATTTCTTTCAATGATACGTCAAAAGATCACAAATCGTATCTAGTCGAAGACATTGCCCTTAAAAATTGAAAAAATTTCCCTTGTTCCCCTTAAATGGGAGAAACCTCCAAACAAATTACAAATTTAAAATTCGCTAATTTTCGAAATTTTTTCAATTTTTTTTACTAAAAACTGCAGTAACTTTTTCAAAAATGAACATATCAATATAATTTTTTTGTATAGGTGCTTAATGTTTTTACCTATCATTTGGTATATTTTTTTTGTAAATCTGATACTTAACCTGCCCACAGGGGGGGATTTAAAAACGTCTTCAGCATTTTATTGCTAAGTATTCACATTGTCCACTTCACATAATTAAATTTAAAAAAGTATAAAAGGACGGGTTTATGTGTTATTAAAAAACATTCGCACATCACCAGCGTGAAGAGACACATTTTAAAAGAAAAAAAAGAATACTGTTTATTTAAAGAAAACTTATTCGAAGGTAAGCAAAAAATCTGTATATAAAATTTTAATATAAATAATAAAATTAAAATAAGTACTTTTGTTAAAACTGAATCTATATAGAGTAGATTTCGTTTGAGCTGTTATTCTTGGTAAATTAGAATTTACATATACATATATATGTAGTAATATTTCTTTTCTTTGGGATTATTCTTAGGTATACAGCATTTATTATCAATGGTAATAAGGCACATTGTTGTGAGTTTATAAATATACTAACTGGCAAAACAGAAAGTTGACTGTGACAGCAACGTCATAAAATATCAATTAGCTACCTGTATTTGTAATCCCTTGTATTTGATACATGTATATTAACTCAAAAATTTGAAACTTTAAATGCTTATATCGAATTAACTAATAAAGTTATATTAAAAATTTAAATGCCATTTACTATTAAATTAAAAACTCAAAAGTTTTATTAAATACAAAACAAAGTACTAAAGGAAGTTAGAATACGTTGTACGAAGTATGAAGATGATAATGAGTCCGCTGACTATATATTCACATATGTGTGATCTTATATGTGACATCATGCTCAGCTTACACACCGGATTGGCTGTGGGTGTCAAAAGGCCGTTGTAATAGGAAGAGAATAAAGGTAACACCTAGGTCTGAGGTGCAGACGAAGTGCAAGACACAATTGTACAATTGTAGATAATCGCACCCTTTGTTAAAATAATTGTTGTTACGCAATATTCTTATATAATGATAATATATTTTGATGTTAATGAAACAATCTGGTATATTTTAAATATAGATAGCTATAATTGAATTTATTCAGTTAGTTGCATTAAAAAAAAAACATAAGATTATTCCTCCATTTTTTTTTCATCACAATAAATACATCTATTATGGTCCTCATCCATAGTAATAAAACAATTTTCACAATAAATGTGTGGACAACGAGGTGAAAATGTGTGGGTTCCTTGTTCCTTTCCACACTGAAAACATACACGGACGGAGTCGAAAGTAATACCTAAAAAATGAAAAGCACAATTTTTGAATTTATATTACTTTTGATAATTGAACTTTACTAATATATTAAGTATTTAACAGTTTTACTGTCGTTAAATAATAAATTTTTACACTCACGTGATAAAATAGTTAACGCACTAATGTGCAAAAGAAAATGATATTTTAAAATAAATAATTTACGAATAGTCAATGAGCAAAATTTGTCAGAAAGATTGAACAAAATAGAATAGAATCATTATATTAAAATAATTATTTTAATATAATATACTTTAATTATAATTAAAGTATATTAATCTAATTAAAATTTATGTTTCAAAGAAAACCTCATACAATACACGAGTATAGGAATAATTAATGAACGAAATAAAGAAAAAACAGGGACATGTTGTACAAGTTACCATAATTATAATAAAAGCGATGTCCAATCCTATGGCTTGATTGCTTAAAGTTTTATTATACTTCAAGGACATGTGAACCAACATTATGAAAAAAATTTTTTTTAAATCGGACTATCCAAATCCGCTAAATTAAAAAATTCCCGTTGTTTTCTAAGCATAAGAATTTTTTTATCATAGTAGCTAACGTTCTTACTACAAAAAAATATAATTTCCCAAGATAATTTATAGCTCTGTTCTAGTTGTTAGAGGCTTCACTCGCAAAATTAATGATATTAGGGAACCGGAAGGCGTGGTTTTTCTTTCAGGCGTTCGCTAAAGCGATCATGCACCGCAAAGAATTGACCAAATACCTGCCTCAGTGGCAGCCTAAATACCTGACCAAAGAGGACCTGAGGAGATTGTTAAGGCCGGTGCCTTAGGAAGATATATATATATATTTGTATTAATTTTTGTGAACTATTGTACCCCGACCTTCACAAAGTCCTGCCTTTACCTTTACGATGTGCAGCCGACCTGGCCTTTATGCTAACGGGGAAGGATTAGAAAAAATTATTTTTGTTATGTTAATGAAATGTTGAATTTTTACATCATGCATATTCAAATGCACGACATATTTGGTCTAAATTTGTAACCAAATATAGTTAACTTTGAGATCTAACAAATTCTATAGTATTTAAAATGAGAGTTCAAAAATATGCAGAAATATTTAAATAACTGACATTAAATCAAAGACAAAAAGACATTAAACCAAAATTTTGGTATAAAATAAAGCCATGAAGTTTGCCCAGTCTTACCTAATATTGTGCATTTGGTTTAGAGCAATCACGTACACTTACTAAATACAATCAGTTACATCTTATCAAATTTAGTTGTATAACCTGCCGTCCGAAATTTAGGTTTTTTGATTGGAGACGATTATGTGCGTTTTGTCGTAGCAAAGGGTTGTACAAATAGAAAATTATAATGAAGTGAACTGTATGATAAAAGATGGTACTTATAACTAGCACAAACTAATACGAATATGTATTAATGAAAACAAACAAATATCTAATTATATCAATGTGGACAGGGGGTTACTTAAAAAATAATTGCCATAAAGCATAAATAACATATCAATAAAATTAATAATTAATTAACTTTAAAGCAAATATTAGTGATGAACGGCCTGATCGCTTGCTGAATAACGGAATTATATATGGACTGGATAATTGAAAATAATTATGACCGATTATTTATTTATTTGAAACATTAACCAAATTTCCTTTTTTGTGCACTAATGCCATAAGTATACATAGGGATAAAGGATCCACTCACACAAAAGGTCTATTATAATATTATTATTTCGCATATAAAATCATAAATATTAATTAAACTTATTTAAATCAATTACTTGATCGGGCACTGTAAATGTGATCGATATTCATAAGTCTATTATTACATGATAAAAAAGTAAAAATAAGTATAAAGTACCTTTCATTAAGTCTTTTTTGCACAAACATTTAGTTTTCATTTTATAATTGATACAATGTTTACATAAATCTTTACTACAACATTGCATTTTTATCAACTGCTCTTTATTCTTAGTTCTTCTACAGTTATAGCAAATGAGAATATCTTAAAAAAAAAAACTTTCTCTAAAAAACATCATAATAATTTACCAGATATTTAAACCATATTTATTTGATTTCGAAAAATAGTATCTAAAACTTTTAGCACATTTTACATTATAGAATGCTACATTAATCAGTAAACTACATTGATAACAGAAGTCAATGCTAGAAAAAGTCCAAATAAGATCGATGTGGTATATAGGATCATTAATTGATGGGCTAAATGAGATTTAGCTACATTATTTGATTAATTGAACTTATATTATCTGTACACTACAATTCATCATAAAATAGCCCACCTCTGAAATATTGAATCATTGGTGTACTAAATGACAAGTGGAAGTACATCTTAAGTACTAAGATTACTTACAAAGATTATACTACCGAGTCCGCAAAGAAATTTTTAATATCCATCATACCATATTCACCAAAATAATGTAAATAAGCTCATATTTATTTTATTAACTTATTTACTACTACTACTTTTACTACTTAAAAATTGATATTTAAAAAATATTCGAGTATTTTCAACAAATTGATTTATTAATTTTAATTCAATTCATCTCAATAAATTAATGATAACTTTTTGACATTAGACAGAAACTCGTCATCTAGAGATTTACACATTATAAAATATTTCAAAATCTATAAATGCGTTTTATTAATTTTTGGATATAAGTCACGAAAATATAATTTTAATTATATTGAAGTTCTTTTAATTATATTAGTCAATCATTTTACATGTATCAGTGTATATTTTTAATAACCTAATAGGTAATTGAACCAGTGTCAATCTTATAGAAGAACATTAGGTACATTTAGACAGGGTTTCAAAAGGAAGCTACTAGAAAATACTAGTTGTATATCAAGTATGATTTCCTAGGAATATTAAAATGTTGGCTAAGTAACCAAAATAGAATAAAATAATTATAATAATAAATATAGTTAAAAAAAAACTAAAAAACACGCTTTTAAAGCACATCAAACTAAATGATTAAAAATAATTTTTAAAATAAGCTTAAAACAATAATAAACAAAAAGTACTAGTATTATTGTGATGAAATCGTCGGGCACTTAATATACAAAAAAATTGGCACAAGCACTCACGCTTTTATCACAATAATACTAGTATTTTTCGTTCATTGTTGTTTTAAGCTTATTTTATAAATTATTTTTAATCATTTAGTTCGATGTGCTTTAAAAGCGTGTTTTTTTAATTTTTTTTAAATTATATTTATTTTGCACTTTTTAGTTTCATGTTACGATAGTAGTTACTATCAATATCATAGTTGTAACGGAAATTAAGGTTCGATTCCGGGGAGGGAGTCTGAGAAACGGCTACCACATCCAAGGAAAGCAGCAGGCGCGTAAATTACCCACTCCCGTAACATGGAGGTAGTGACGAAAAATGACGATAAAAAAATTATCCTTTGTAATCTGAATGAATACACTCTATATCTCTTAATGAGAGTAAAGCGTGTTAATATATATTTTTAATAGTAATTAGAATATATATATATAAAGCGACTTAAGTACGTAAAAGTATAATGCACGAGGTATAGCTGTATTTTGTGGTCGGGCGGGGCGTGGGGGAACGTTGTACGCGAGGCATATGTGGCGGCTGTAGGAATATATATAAATATATACACATACATACATACATATATATATTAAGGCGACATAAGTACGTAAACGTATCATGCACTAGGTATAGCTTTGTTTTGTTGGCGGGGGGAACGTTATACCTAAGGTATAAACGGCGGCAGCGGCGGTAGGAATATATAAATATATATATACGTAAGGCGCATTACACGCAGACGGTATTGGTCAGTCAAAATAAAAGTTTGTTTATATATATATAATTAATGACAGGCACGCGTGTACGGGTACGAAAACCAAAAATATAAAATTATACAGGATTACGGTTGTCGGTGACTGGTGAGCGGGGTGGGGTGAATGCATTACGATGTCTAGTCTATACGACGAGATACGCGAGAATAATAACATGTGCCCCGTGGAAAGTTACAAACACACATCACACATACAAGTGAAACTAATATAAGCGTATTAAAAATACTTAGTATTTACAGCAAACATAAGTTTTGACATTATTAAAAATAAAAAAAATTAGAACACGTTTTTTAACACTTCAATATAAGTTGTCTTATATTTTCATAAAAATATTATTACTAAATGAATAAAAAAATGTTCTTTTATTAACAAGCTTATATAAATTTCACGTGTATGTTTGTTGTTTCTTGTAAGTTTGTAACTCCACGCGCCACGTGTTATTATTCTAGCGTATCCCGTCGTTTATGGCCTTGAGACTGGACTGTCGTAACGAATTCACCCCACCCCGCTCACCGCTCTACCACTATTTAAATTACTCACTATTTAGTGGGTAATTTACGCGCCTGCTGCTTTCCTTGAATGTGGTAGCCGTTTCTCAGACTCCCTCCCCGGAATCAAACCCTGATTTCCGTTACAACTATGATATTGATATTAACTACTATCATAACATGAAACTAAAAAGTGCAAAATAAATATAGTTTAAAAACGTATATATCTTATTTATTTTATATATTTTGTTTGATTCATATTTTTTGTTTAAAACATAAAAATTTATATAAATAAATGTATAAATGATCGATTTATCATAAGCCACTATAGTACTGTATCTAATAGGGTGAACAATTTTATTTTAATAAATGAAGACATACATATATATGTAACTTATAGAATAAGAAATGAGGTAATTAAAAAAATGACTGGTCGATAACAGCTTTTTGACCAGTATTTCACAAGTAATTAATAATTTAAAGTAGTGACTGTAGGTGAATAGTGTTGCTATTTTTATCACTAGGCATTTTACAGGCTTCATTCCTACTACCGCTAAGGTATAAAAATATTAATCCTTTTTCAATTTCTAAAATTGAGTGAATTTTTCCGATGATGTCTTTGACATTGATAATTTATTTATTTAAAAGAACCCATGAACAATAATATATAAGAAAGAATTGTCTCAACTACTTATATTCTATTAAAATTCATTTTTAAAACTTTGCTTCAAAAATATATTTCTATCAAATGAATAGAGTTAAATAGGGTAAATGTTAATGAATGATTTGATTATAAACTCATTTTTTTTTTTTTTAATATACCTTCAAGTGGATTTCCGTAGCAATTTGGACATAATATTACTCCATAACTTATCCAATTATCTAAACAATTTTTATGGAATGTCCCAGAACAACATGGTAGTTTACAATCAATTACATTTATTTTATTACGACATATCTGACAATCTAAAAAATAATAATTTATGAAAATAAGAAATTTGATTAACGTTTAATTATTTTATTTTATTAATTTCACTCTTTAATTCTCTTATTTTTATGTTATTTAGAAAACACTCAATTACAATTGAGTGACTATTCAATAACATTATACAAAAAACACTATTCCACATCTAAGATTTTACATCAAAACTTATTTAGTAACATTCATTAAATCTAATCACATGGTTTTTAGCACAATTATTTTGTATTTTTTATCTCAACTTTGATCACAAAAGGCATAAAATGTATGCCTTTACATTCAGAGTACATTCAAAAGAGTAGAGTACTGAATGTACTCTATTTCCTTTCTGTTCTCCTATTTCATTGGCCCATTTAAATCCGCAACATTGATTTAGACGATTTTTATTGATCAAGATAAGGCATCAATTATTGTATCGCTATACAACTATACATTATGGGTAAAATAATTATACCCAATTATCAATTATTGATGGATCATATGTTCTCTACCCAGAATTTTTACATCAAACCGTATTTTATTTAGAAATAAAAGTAAAATTTTCATTGATTGAATCATTAAGCCATTACCACGCGCATGTATTTCGATTAGTTAAGTTTTATTGTTTTCTAAATAAATTATTTAAGCGTTGAGTCCACCAACGTTCAAAATGAATAGAATATAGTTGGATTCCAAAGTGCACTTCGCCTAGTCACAGATAAGTATTTTTAATTTTAAGTCGTACAATCTATTATTAAAAATTCTTCATATTCAAAAAAAATATATAGCTAGTAGAAAAATAAATTATTTTTCAATAATTTATTTTTCAATATATATTCTATTCATTTTGAACGTTGGTGGACTCAACGCTTAAATAATTTATTTAGAAAACAATATTCGATAGTTACACATATATTCGAATAGTTTTTAAAATATTTAATAAAATAGACTCTATTCGAATAGTTTATGCTAAAACACACTATTCGGTTGTATAAAAACAATATTCGATAGTTTAAAATATTCGAAAATGCCTATCACTAATCTATATTAAGGAACATAGATAAATTATCAGATTTATCAAAATAATATCAAAAATATGATATTAATTTTATAAATTTCAATAGTCAACATTTAATATTAATTTTAGATTTATTTGAATGGATTTGTTTTAATTATTTACATTTTGCAAATTAAATAAAACAATAATAACGATAATTGTTATTATTATTGTTAATATATACATTTAATTTTATATAATAATATTTCTTATTACACTAACTAATTATGGAAGGGGAGCTCCTTTAGTGTAAAGTAGATATCATACAAATAGCTCTAGTTGGATTTCGGTGTACAATACACATTTGCGGAATAAACAATCATCTATTGTGCTTGTATCCAAAGTTATATATTATATACCTATTATTGAGACCCAAGTGGTTTAACTTAGTGATACATATATAAACAAGTTTTAAGTATTTTACTTTTTTGTTCATTAGTGTCTGTTAATACTGTTTCGTCCTCGAGAATATCAGAGCTGGACAATACCTTTTCACATTTTTGTAAAATAACCAATAATATGATATTTGCGATAAATAATTTCTGAAAAATAATATTTAATTATATTAATTAGGCGTGGTGTGGCGCGGTGGTCACACTAGTCGTTGACAAAAATCTAGTATTAAGCCGCTATTAAGGTGAACTGATGAGCGACCATGCGTGCGTTTCTACGGTGGCAAAAAAGCACTATGTTCCCAGTGCAGAAGACAACGGGAAACCACTGTACTTAAATTTCTCCAGGATAGACCAATCCAGTTAGTATTAACCAACCTAACGGTTGTAAAAAAAAAAATATCTAATTAGTTGTTAGTTGTTGTAAAAAGTATAAGAGCTATCTGAAAGAGTTTTATTAAAATCATTTAATAAATAAAAACTATTTTTAGTTGTTTCATCTATTGAATATGATTTTAATACATTTAAAGATAACTGTTTACATTGTATTTTCACTTATGTTAGTATAGTACAAAGTCAAAAGGGTTACATTCCTTACTTGGTCGAGTCTTTTTATTGAATTCAATTCAACTTGTACAAATATTTAGGATTAAGTCATTCTTCACCGTCCATCGAGTTAAATGACTCGTTGCCATTGTACATCTCTTATATCATACGCTCTGATATTTTATATTATAGACAATTATATTAAGAATTTTTTCTTAACCTTATAATTATATAATCTATTCCATTCAACAGATTATGGATCCAATGTCTAGTGTTTAAATTTTTTTCTGTAATATAATTATACATGAAATTTAAATCATGTGTTATGATCGTAAAACCGTTGATCGTATTAAATTTTTTTGTAATTTGAATTGTGTGCAGACAATGTACAGAAAATCTGTTATTTTTGTAATACGGACGCGCGTGGAGAAGATGGATTTATTAGTAAAAAGTAGAATTTAAGGAGAATTTATTAGAGTTTATTTATTGATGATGACTTTAATCATGATCGATTAAAATAGAAATAAATAATATTAAATATTGTAATAAATAACCCACGAAATAGAATACAGCTCTATTATACGGACTTGGAATTAAACTTAGAATTAACTGACTTGGACTTATAATACTATGTGTAGTGTCACTTTCACATATCGAACCACGACTAACTGTAGGAGACCTACAGTAGGAGTCCTTTGCTCATAAATCCCTTGGTCAGCACATTCTTGTGTCTGACGACAGTCGGACGACAATGTATTTTATACTCTACTCAATTAAAAAATAATATTCAGGGGTTCTTAACATTTTGAAAAACGAATCAATAAAAATTAACAAACTAAACGGACAATGGAATATTACGAATGACTGTAATATTAAGATCAAATGATATGTTGTTGTTTTTTAATAAATAGAAATTATGAATATCAAATTCAAATGATAAAACAGGATGCAGAAACAAATGTTGGTGTATACTTGCGCTTAGATCGAACTCAGCAAAAATTATTAATGACAGATTCTGATTACTGAGTACATTTAAATAAATGTCATTCGTATATATATATCAATTGCAACGATTCAGTGAAAATTTTATAGTTATGTGTTGGATCCAAATAATAATAGGCACAAGAGTGGCGAGAAAACCTGCCCCTGTGAGCAGGTTTAGAGTCAGATTTTTAAAGCAATTATATCAAACGAACAAAAAATATCTAAGGTATTAATATAATAAAGAGTTATTTTAATTTGTTCATTTTTTAAAAATTTATGGCAGTTTTAAGTATTAAAATATTTCATATTAAACAGTGAATTTTACATATAAATTACATTTTTCGTTAAATTCGACGAGAATTTTACCATAGAAGAAAAGGTATTGGGATAAATTTTTTTTTTTAACTTATAGTATTTACCATAAGCTACAATTTGACATATATTAAAAGCTCAGAGAATTTCCGGAACATTTTCAAAAAATAAGTTGAAAATTTCTAATATACATTATTTTTAATGTAAAATTTTCAATTTTTGAAGAAAATGCCTTCGATTTGATACGATTTGTGATCTTTTAACTTATTGTTGAAAGAAATCGGTTCAGTGAGAGCTGAAATGTGGTAACACATACAAAAAAAATTAATAAAAAAAACAGATCATTGTAAAAAATCTGGAACTTTATATTTCCTTATAGTAAAAATAACAACTATATTCAAAAATTTTCAATTTTTTATTTTCGATTTTATATTTGTAAAGTTTCAGCCGAACCAGAAGGCTTAATATTTCCCCCCACCCAGGTGGAACACTGGACAGTGACCTAGTAGTCGAGCCAAGCAAGATAGTACTTGTTGATGGAGCTACTTAAAGAGAATGGCCATGTGTAATATAACATTTTTTTTTTAATTATTGAAAATTTATATGTATCATTTAAAAATATATATTCATAAAAAAAGAAGAAAAAGAGGTGCTATATGCACAACATTAATAAGAAGTTAGAAAAGGGGAGTTTCATGTTGTAATTGTTGTTGAATGATTTCTTGACGGCCCTCCACTGGCCATATTTTGTATCTCACATCATCATCGACATCTAGATGTTTAATTTTACAAAAATAAAATGGTCAGAGTGTTCCGTTCACGATGAGTGACATAAAATTCACTTAACGTTTATTTTATAAAAAAAAAAAAACGAAGTACAAAAAATATTTGACTAATTCATTTTGCATTGGAAAATATTCAAAATTCATTTGATATTTATCACATATAGATTGAATAACTGCAATTAGATTTATTCAATCGCCTCTTTTTTAGTATCGATGCGAAGCTAATATTGGTTTTACTAATATCTTGTTACCAATAATGTTACCACTTTTTCTCGAACTGATTTCTATCAATGACACGTCAAATATCACAAATCGTATCTAGTCATAGACATTACATTCAAAAATTGAAAAAAATTCCCTCGTTCCCCGTAAATGGGAGAGCTCTCCAAAAAAATTATAAATTGAAAAATCACTAATTTTCGAAATTTTTTCAATTTTGTTTATTTAAAACTGCCATAACTTTTTTAAAAACAACCAAATCAATATAATTTTTTTTTATAAATGCCTTAGGTATTTACTTATCATTTGATATATATTTGTGAACATTTGACCCTTTACCAGCACACATGAAGCGTTTAAAATGATAACTTTTTCACAAAAAAACCTAGCACATTTGGGTCGCGACACAGTGGTGACGTAGCATAGTTGGATCAAGTATAATGATATCTGACAGTAATTAAAATCACTATCAAAAAAATAAACGCTTCGATGCAAATCTTTAGATAATGTTTAATTTTAAAAAATTGGTGGATTATTCCAAAAACTACATGATCTGCTATTTCCTTATTAATATCCTGAATGAGAAAGGGATTATTAAAAAATATTATTTCTCATAAAAAAATTGTGTTGATCCATACCCTTTTCAATAAGTTATAGCATTATAAAGTTGAAAATGTAAAAAATAAAATCGAGAATTTTCATACAAAAATAGCATTTGATAGCCATTTTCAGCGTGAAAACAAAATAAAGTCCTATTTTTTTATTTTCCATAACAAATTATATTACATTATCTTTTATTAAAGATAATATAAAAGTGTCAGACTTTCCGGAATACTTTCAAAAGTAAAGTCGAAAAAGTTAATTTTTTGTGAAAAATTTGTCATTTTAAATCCCCCCCTGTGGGCAGGTAAAGGGTCTGATTTATAAAAAAATATACCAAACGAAAGATAACGATATCATGCATCTATATAAAAAAATTCTGCTCATACGTTTATTATGAATCTTAATTATATGGTGTAATATGTATTTTTATTAGGAATCTATTTTGCATTTGCATATAGCACTATATTTTATCGAGGAATATTATATGTTATATATAAATTTCAAGACGGTGTAACGTAATAAAGTTATCATGAGTATAAGGTCACAGGTTATTCAAACAGTTCGCGTCGTCTATCTGTAGGGTCAGTGTTGCATATACACACATGATTAGTTATTAGACAATCATTTTCCCTATCACCTGTGATCCTTGTCCATACCACATTAGAATGGTCACACTGTCAACTACCCTTTCTATGTGCTATCGAGCCGGTTTGAAAAATCACGGTTATGTTCAAAAAAGAATCTCTTATTATAATTCAATTCACTTTTTTCCTCTTCATCGTTGAATACATTTTGGACTGTTGGCGTCAACTATTTTTTTGTCTTTTTTCTGCGATCTTGTCAAGAAACTAAAGATGGAATAATAAATTTTCATTTTGGCTTGGCCATTGTTATGGCAACACCTCAAATTAATAACCTGGACTTGGACAACATCAACTAATTGTAATGTGGTATATTTCTTCTGTTCTTTTCTCTGTTTATCTGTTATCCGTTTTAACATGTTATTTAAGTAATTTGTTTATGAGTGCTCTGACTATGTGGTCACAAATGTTAGTTACTGACTATATAGATTAACTATAATTTTATATTATAAGCAATGGTCAATCCGTCTATTTTTTTTATTTCTCTCTTTTCTTTATTTCATGAGCTGACAGTTTCCTCAGGTGTCGTCAGGATGGACATGGTGAACATCTCAATGAGTCCTCATTCAATGAGGATACTCATTGACGTTGGTGACATGTCCACTATACCCTGACGCATGCGTTGGATCTGTCATGCTCATGTTTTTCCTCTTATGCTTTGTTATATTGTGATTATGACATTTGAAATTTAATATACTCCAGCAAGTAATTTATTTCAGTTAATATAGTTTTATTTATGGTGACTAGTTCTTATCAGGAACACTGACATGATAAAAAGAAATGGATCATTATGTTCAGACTTTATTAGTCATAAATTATTATACTTTATAAAGAACACAGGCTATTTGAATGCCTGACTGTCTATAGACAACTTGTATGTAATATTGGTATTAATCACTATACATTGTCTTAAATTTTAATTATAAACAGACTGTAAATTCCTCTGATATCCTTGACCATAACTAAATTACTATTAATCTATTCAGTATCTTACTGTAATGTTTTTTTTGTTCCCTATATTTTCCCTTTTATTTGGGACCTATGTTTTTAATTAATTAATCTATTTTTATGTACAATTCTCTTTCAAATATTTTTATTATATTATAAGAACAAGAAATAAAATTGCTTGTAATGTGTAATAAATTTTAATGACTGTTCTAAATCATATTTTATTAATGACCTTTTTTCCTAGGATAAGGTACTAAAATCCCTGGTGCTCCGGCTCGGCCTCGGCCCAGGGTGGACCCTCTTCGGGGTTCTTGTAAGTTTAGCTTACAACGGTTATAATTATATAAGTTTGCACTTTCATTATCAGATACAATACATTATTAATAATCTTTTTCTTCTCATATATGATGTATGAGTCTATGAGTTTATCGTTTAAATTGGGATTCATCTATGACAACTATGCTGTCCAACGATAAATCGTAGTTACCAATATTTTAATCAAATTAAATTTTTTACATAGTCCCACGTATAATACCTGCTGAATTTTTTTTTAATTATTCTATAATATAAACACAATTATTATAATTAGAATATTAATAATTTGTGTGTATACCAGGGGTGTATTTAAGGGAGATACGGGTCTCCCTTAAACCAGCTCTATCAATAATTTTTTAGGTATTTTCTAATAAATAAGGATCTAATGTCCTTTTTTTTCATCATTACTTTAATTTTTAGCAAAAAATATTCTATAATATGTTTAACAAAGTAAAAAATATTAAATACCCTCCTAAAATAATTTTTGAATAGGCCTAAAGGGAATACCTCATTATCAAACGTCAACATTATACCCAATACATTTTACTATATTCTCTTTTTGAATTTTCCTGATTTTAATAATAACATTTTTAATATATTTTTGTTACACTGATTCTGATGTAATATTTTTTCTGCAAAACACTTATTGTGCCCAGCGTAGCCGGGTACCCCTACCAGAATCAGTGGCCTACTTATGATGACGGCCCGAAGAGGCTTACGCACCTAGACGAAGACTAGTATTGATATAATCATTATTGAAAAATTTATGACAATATTAAGTAATAAAAATTGAAAAAATTTCGAAAATTAGCGAATTTAAATTTGTAATTTTTTTAGAGATTTCCCCCATTTACGGGGAACGAGGGAAATTTTTTCAATTCTTAGGGGTATTGTCTTCGACTAAATACGATTTTTAATCTTTTTACGTATCGTTGAAAAAAATCGGTTCGGTGAGAGCTGAGAAAAAGTGGTAAGAGACACAAAAAAAAAATATATAGTACACATCATAGTAAAATTAATACTTTCTCAGCTTCGCATTGAAGTTAAAATTTATTTTTTCAACTTATCTTTTGAAAGTGTTCCAGAAAGTCTGTCACTTTTATATATATTATAAATCAATGCTAATGTAATATACTTTATTATGGAAAAAATAAAATTTCGGACTTATAACTTATTGAAAAGTGTATGGATCAATACAATTTTTTATGAGAAATAATATTTATATCCCTCTTCCTTTTAACATACTTTATCTTAATCAGGATATAAATAAGAAGATAGCAGATCATATTACTTTTAGAGTAATCAACTAATTTTCTAAAATTAAACACTATCTAAAGATTTGCATCGAAACGTTTTTTATGATTGTGATTTTAATCATTGTCAGATATCATTATATTTGACCCAACAATGCCACGTCACCACTCTGCCACGACTCCCTGTGTTGGGTTTTTTTTTTTTATTTATAGTTGATTTTTATGAAAGTTTATAAATTAAGAATGTTGAACTTCAAATCTTTTTTAAGTTGCAAGTTAAAATTGATGTCATTAAAACAAAATTTTATGTAGATTTCAAAAATGGTTTTATTTTGATCGATTTATGGCCAGGAACTTATATAATTACTATTAACAGCAAGATTATGAATAAATTAAGTCTAAAATTTCATTAAAATCACTTTTTTTGTACTTATATCGTAATAAATAATTTCAATAGAAATACTAATCAGGAAAAATAAAATTATAAATGTGTACTTTTGAATCTGATGAGAATTTCTTGTAAAACCTTTAATGTATAATTAACAAAACATTATTTTCTTAAAAGTTTTGAATCAAGCCCTTCAATTTTTTACTCATATCCATAAAAGTAATAACTGTTTTATAATTTTTTATAAATTCTCCGAAATAATTACAGTACTAAATTATTAAATATCAATCTGTATTGAAATAAATTTATAAGTATTTATTCATTTGTTATACTTATAAATCATAGAACTACTAATTAAAAATAATGAAGGAAATAAGAATTAATTTTACTTCTGGAATATTACACCCATTTCCCAAAATTAAACACTATCTACAGATTTGTATGGAAGCGTTTCTTATGATAGTGATTTTAATCATTTTTAGATATCATCTATGCCACGTCCACATAAATATAAAAATATTTATAATTTTTAAAATAGTGTTACATAAGTTGATATAGTGAAAAATGTAATGTTTTAATTTTTCTTAGGAAAACTACATAATACAATTATTTAATACTTAATAAATTGTTTGACGTACCATATTAAAGTTCTTAGTAAGTTGCATTACTTCGTTTAAAATACTTCAATAAGTTAACGTATACACATAAACATATGTACATGTGTACTACGTTTTAAAAAAAATGTAATATTATTTCATGTTTAATTTAATCATATATTAAAAGAAACTATCATGCGTCACCACAAACACAAATATTAAATTCTATTTATTTATTATCTTAAATGCGTAGTTTTAAAGCTATTGATTTCACATTGTAGGAATATCATTTTTTATATAAATGATAAATTGTTTATTAAATCAATGCGAATATATAAATCTTCTTCTTCTTTTTCTTTTTCTTCTTCCTCGCTTTAATCCCAACTACATTAAACCAACTCCAGGATAATGTTTTTTTTGTAATACAAAAAAAAATCTTAACGAAATTGCATAATAACCACACACTATCATTTGTATTGTAATATTGGTATCTTCTTCTTCTTTTTCGCCTTAATCCCAAATACTTAGGGTCGGCCACTCTTATCCTAAACTGCCACTTGACACGATCTCCCACATCATCTACGCTCACATCAGTTGTCCTCAAATCGCATTCAATAGCATCCCTTCATCTCTTTTTTGGTCTTTCTCTACCTCTTCTTCCTCCAACATTCATTTCTACAACTGTTCTTACGGCTTTACATTCTTCTCTTCTCATAACAAGTCCAAACAATTTAAGTCTATTTTCTCTCATCTTATCTACGATTGACGCTACACCTATACTCCCCCACTTATATGCTCATTTTTTATCCTTTCTTATATGAATAAAAAGAGAAAAAAATTTAAACATTTGCTGATTTTAAAAATCGTACTGTATGAGGGGATTTAACGCATTTACAAAGAACGAGGGAAATTTTTAAGACTACTATCTTTAGCTAGATATGCTTTGTGATCTTTTGACGTATCATTGAAAGAAATTGGTCAAGTGAGAGTTGAAAATGAGTACTGAGAGACAAAAAAAAAACACAATCAAATAGGTAATTATAGTTGTATTTTTATTTAATTAGTTCCATTTAAAAAAAACATGAAAATGGTTGATTCGTTTTTTTTGCCGCAAAAAGGACAATATCCCTTATATTTTTTACATAGACTTTTAAAACATCTCTTACAAAAAATTTGTGGGCATAGAGATGAATAAGTGTAAATTCCTTTAAACACTCCACAATAGGAACACAAACGAAGTGTGTCGAAAATAATACCTAAAATATTATAAACACAATTTTAAATTGAATATTTGATAGTGATTTTATTATTCAATAATGCTAATAAGTAAGCAGTCATGACGAAGTTCGAATCACCTAAAAAAGGCAGACAATGCTCTACACATCCTCTTTTGGTGCGAGGAGTAGACCCAGGAGCTGGACTATTTAAGATCCCTATAGGAGTACACGTTCCCACTAATCAATTCTTTGGTAGACATAATTTCAAGGACACGAGAAGCGTTGTTTATCATCCATGCGTACACGAAGCGGTCATGCACCGCAAATAAATAATCCAATAAAACATAAATATGTATTCATGTTCTATCTTTTAAAATAAAATTTACTGTAATTTTATGTTAATTTTAAAAATATTTTAAATAGAAACTGTCATGCATCACCACAAACACAAATATTTAATAACAAATTAAATTAAAATTGTTTATTATCTTCGATGCGTAGATGAGAAGTTATTTATTTCTCTGTTCCTTGTTTTTTTTTTTTTACTTTACGAGAATATATCCGCTGTTATTGGATTTATTTTACTTGAGGATACGTCAAAAGATCACAATTCGTATTTTGTCGAAGATATTACCCTCAAAAATTGAAAAAATTTCCCTCGTTCCCCGTAAACGAAGGATATCTCCGATAAAAATTTAAAAATCGCTAATTTTCTTCACTTAAAACTGTCATAACTTTTTCAAAAATGACCAAATCAATATAATTTTTTTTATAGATGCTTGATGTCTTTACCTATCATTTGGTATATTTTTTTTATAAATCGGACCCTTTACCTTTCCACATGGGGGGATTCAAAATGACAACCTTTTCGACTTAACTTTTGAAAGTATTCCGGAAACTCTGACACTTTTATATATATTTTCAATAAAAGATAATGTAATACACTTTGTTATGGTAAATAAAAAATTAGGACTTTATGTTGTCTTCACAGTGAAAATAGTTACCGAATGCTATTTTTGTATGAAAAAAGATTTTATATTATTTTATTAAATAAAAATTTATAAAATATATTTTATATTTTTAACTTTATAATGCTATAACTTATTGAAAAGTGTATGTGTACAATTTTTACAATTTTTTTATGAAAAATAATATTTATATCCCTCTTTCATTCGACATATTTTTTTTAAAAATAACACCATTTCCCTTTATATATTTATATATTATAAATAAATATATATATATATATTCATATATTACACTTTTAAATCATAAAACTTGTAATAAGAATATAAATAAAGAAATAGGAGATCATGTAGCTTTTGGAATAATCCACTAATTTTTCTATATGCTTTATATTATATATGCTTTTAATTGCTAAAAAACGCTAATTTTCAAAATGTTTTCAATTTTTTTTACTTAAAACTGCCATAACTTTTTTAAAAATTATCAAATCAATATAATTTTTTTAAATAGATAAATGAGGTATTGACTTATCATTTTCTATATTTTTTTTTATAAATTTGATCCTATACCTGTTCACAGAGAGATTTCAAATTAGCAATTTTTAACAAAAAATTAACTTTTTCAACTTTTGAAAATGAATTGAAAATACTGACACATTTATACATGTCATTAATGCTTATGTAATATTTTTTATTTTTCATAAAAAAATGTTAAGATGACACAAGTCTCCACGACTGTCTTTTCAGACCATCCGAACAGTGGTCTCACGCTAATGCGACTGCTTACTTATTAGCATTAAATAATAAAATCAATATCAAATATAACATTTAAAATTATGCTATTAATTTTTTAGGTATTGTTTTTAGCCACTTTCGTTTGTGTATATCATGTAGACAGTTTGAAGGAAAGTACACTTTTTCATCTCGTTGTCCACAAATGTTTTGTAAGGAATGTTTTAATAGCCTACGTAATCAAAATGATGGGCGTTGTTCTTATTGTGGTGAAAAAACAAAGAAGAAGAAATCATTTTTATGTTTTTCTTAAGTGCAAATATTTGAATAAATACAACTATAATTATTTAAATTAAAAATATGCCAAATTTTTTGATTATTATTATAATATGTTATCGTTAAATAAGAAAATAGCATAACATCAGTTACTTGAACAAGATGTGCGATTATGTACAATTATGTCCAAATGATGACATCACTTAATACTCATGTAAATGACACAGCTAATTTATTAGTTAAATATATTTTGTCATTGTCCTTTTCTTTTTGCATTGCTATTTTTTTTTATAACAGAAACTTAAATCTTATTATTATCTTCTTTCTAATGTTAATTTTAATCTAGTATATATCATTACTAAGATTCTCTTGTCTCAAATTATAAATCCTCTTATAGACCCTCTTGAATCATTCTTGATTCTCTTTCATAATAATCTTCTTTCTTTAGTATTACAACAGAATTCCCTTTATCTGCCTTTAAATAAAAATAGTTTTTATTTTTTAAGTCATTTATGAGTCGTAGGAGGCTACAAACAAAAATAGTTCAAAATTAATAATTGAAGAAAAGTTCAGGTTTTTCATTAAAATTTCAAACCCTCAAATACCTAATCTATATGCTTTGCCAAAAATACATAAGCCAGGAATTACTATGAGACCTATTGTGTTGAATATTAATGCTCCGACTTACAATTTGGCTAAACACCTAGTAAGGGTATTTTCATCTTTCAAAAAATTCGATAGCTTTTCAGTTAAAAATAATATTGACTTAGTTAAACAATTATCTGGTTATACCATTCAAAATAATGACAGGTTAATTTCTTTTGGCGTAGTTGCCTTATTTCCGAATATTCCAATAAATATAACAATTGATTTTCTAAATTTTGAAATTTATCGGAAAAACACACACACGTTCAGATACATTCCGAACACATCGAACCACACCTGGCAACACAAATTGTCAGCTTTTAATAGTATGGTTTACAGATTAATTAATATTCCGATGAATAAAATAGATTATGATAAAGAATTGGTGGTTATAAAAGAAATAGCTAAATTTAATGGGTATAAAGAAAACATAATTTCAAAATTAGTCCGAAAACAAAAGTGGAAAAAAGAAAGGAGGGCAGCTGGTACACTCACCAGCGAAGGGGAACAAAAAGTAATTAGATCACCAATTTTATATTATCCGGGCATCTCAAATGGATTAACTAAAATATTTAAGAATTTTGGTATTACTTTGGTAACATCTAAGAGTAATAATTTAAGAGATTTATTAGGTAACCCTAAAGATAAGGTAGATGAAGGGGGGAAATCAGGCATTTATAAAATACAATGTGAAAGTTGTAATAAATGTTACGTAGGACAAACAAAAAGAAATATAGGGGTCAGGTTTAAAGAGCACTTAAGAAATATTAAAAATCAAGAAATTGAGAAATCTCCAGTGGCTGAACATTTATTGACACATAATCACTCTATTAAAACCATAAAACTAATTAAAAACGTAAATAATTACAAAGAACTTAATATCAGAGAAGCAATAGAAATGTTTAAAAATAAAAACAATTTAATTAATTGGGATCTTGGCCCACTGAAAAATTCATTATTAAACTTGTGTAAACTGGCAAAATGTGATAATATTACTTAGTGATAACGTCACTAGGTGATAAGGTCACTAGGGGTATATAAGGGAGTTTTTTCTAGTCGGGGTGTCAGTATGTGTTTAGCGTTGATAATGGTAACATTGTTTCCGAAATACGTATCCGCGACTTTTCATTAATTTTTTTGTGGCTTTTGAGTTTAATATTTTTAATATTTTTTAGTTTTTTTA